TATCTATCTATCTATCTATCTATCTATCTATCTATCTATCTATCTATGTCTGCCTGCCTGCCTGCCTGCCTACCCATGTTTGTCCATGCATCCATTCCTCCGTCTGTCTATCTGTCTCTGTACATTATCCATCCATCCATCCATCCATCCATCCGTCCATCCATCCATCCATCCATCCATCCATATGTCCATGCATCCATCCATTTATCCATCTATGTATGTTTACCTGTCTACTTTATCTTCCTACCTTATCTATCTTCTTAATTTTTAATCTATAAAATTATAAGCCTTCCTCCATACAAGCAATAGAAAACACTGTGTGAAGATAGAATTCTTTGAATCTCTCCTTATCAGCCTGAAGTGGGTGAATTGAAACTCCTCACTTAGGCAGTTTGTTACCCTGCAACACACATAGGTTGTATCTTTGACTCATCCCAGTCAGCATTTTGGGGTTTGGAGATCCTATGCTCTGGTTGCTAAGTGACCTAATGAGTGGGCAGTCTATGTTTGCTTCATTTATATACTGTGTGTCTAAGAAAGCCACAGCATATGTGGCCTGGTTTTTTTTGTTGTTGTTGTTGTTTGTTTTTTGGAGCTCGTATCCTGGGTTTCCTTTATGACCAGGGATCAGAGAAGGCTGAAGAAGGTGGAGAAACTGAGGCACAAAAAGAGGGCAATGAAGATGCGGGCAACCTCCCTGAAGCCCAGGAGAAGAATGTGAGTGTTCACTTTTTCACATCAGTTTGACTGGATTCTCTGCTGTTCAATAGAGACTTTTATAGGGCTTGTACAACTTGACTCTGGGCACAAGCAATCAGAAAGAGAGTGAGTAGCTGCGAGTTTAGCTGGGGAGGAAGCAGGTAATTTCTACTGATGTGTTAAGCACTGGGGTCCTGGTGCAGAGAGGGCTAAAGGGAAGATGAAGGAGCCTGAACCTTGGCCTGGAGGGAGCCAGTTAGACAAGGCTTGGAGAATTTGTTGTGGTGTTACGGCTGGGTTAGGTGCATGCTCTTTATAAACAAGGGCCCTTTCTGCTTAGTCGTGATTAATGACAGACTCCTAGCTTACACCCACCCAGGAGCCCTGCCCAGTGGGGAAACAGAGCTAAGGGGGTTCAGTATATCTGGGGGAAGACAACAGGAACTTGAGGATCAAAAGGACTCCTTGGGGAGGGAAACTGACACTCAGTTAAGTTCATTCAGGGACATAACAGATCCTGGTGAAGTCACATGATTAATTCTAAAGGGGTTCCCATGCAGGAGCAGCAGGATAAGGAGTGGGCAGTGTTGGGGAACACTGTGCTTCTGTGAGTGCCAAGCTGAGATAATGGGGGATGGGATGGGCTACTTCTTCAAGGAGTTCTGAAAACATGCTGGGAAGCCAGGTGCCAAGGAAGGAGCCTGGTGGGGCTGGGAATGGGGTGCAGGCATTGGTCTGGGCCTCTTTGGAGGAGAATCTCAGAGGCCTTCTCCACTGGGTCAGTTGTAGCAAAGACTATTTTCAAACCCTGATGGTTTGCTAATTTATTTATTCTGGGAGAGGTGTGGGAGCTTTTATGAGAGCTGGATCCTCATTCACCAGATAAAATGTGGCTAGAAAGGGGCTGAAACCCACACCCACACTATGGAAAAAGGGGTGTGGGGCTGGGCATCAATTTGTCTTTACCTTAAAGAATTTAAATTGGGAGGGGCTAGGGAAGGAAATTCCCGATATTTAGACTTATATTTGAAGTAGACTGCTATTTCAAAAGTTGATATTACAACTCTGAAGTTTTTGTTTTAAAGAAAGACAAAATCTTCAATCTTGACCTAGAAGTTAGATGGTGTTTCATGGCAGCCTATGTAATTCAGAAACAATACTTTAAAAATTAAATATAGTGACAATTTCATTATCTTGTAATAAAAAAAAAATCTGTTTCACAATTTGAACTTTGCATGAGTTGCCTAATGCACCCTTACAGTCATATTGATGAATACTTTGAAGTTGAGTTTGCTTCTTTTAAGACATAGAGACATGGATGAAAAGCATTACACCCCAGCCCCTTTCTCCCATGGGACCAGCAGGGAGGTAGCGTGCTTATAATCAGATCCTGCCTCCTGCAGCCAGGGTGGGCACTGCTTCAGCTTCGCAGCCACTGGGCTGGGTTAGTTCTATGAAGTGATGAATCACCCAGCTTTTACGTTCTCTTTGCTACTACTTTTTAAAATTGTGAACCTTTGACAAAGTCAGTTATAACCTTGTGAATCCTGATAGGAATGAAAAAAAAACATTTTTTTGTTATTTTTGTATGGGCCATGGTGAAGAAATGACCGTAAGTGAAAATATTTTTATTTTAGATGAATATATTGCTAACATCATATTATCAAATTCGCTTTTCAACTCTTTAATACTATTTATCCTACAGAAAGACAGATTCTGACTTTTTCCGGTTTGAAAACCAACACATGCTCTTTGATTTACTTTAATTCAATTAAATTAGAAAAACCCTCTGTGATTGTCAGTAAACAGATGAGAAATGTTGTAAAAACATGATTAACCCTTATGAGTATATATGAAAATCGGCTGAACTTTAAAATTTAAGGAGGAGACAAACAGCGCTTAGATATTTAGAATGCTTTGCATTTTGTGCTTCAAGAACTTGCTGGCTTGTTTTGACGGTCTTTGGTTTGTTGTTAAAAGCTGAGATGGGGCCGGGCACATGGCTCACGCCTATAATCCCTGCACTTTGGAAGGCAGAGGCGGGCAGATCACTTGAGGTCAAGAGTTTGAGACCAGCCTGGCCAACATGGTAAAACCCTGTCTCTACTAAAAATACAAAAATTAGCCGGGTGTGATGGTGCATGCCTGTAATCTTAGCTATTTGGGAAGCTGTGATGGGAGGATCGCTTGAACCAGGGAGGCAGTGGTTGCAGTGAGCTGAGATCGTGCCACTGCACTCCAGTCTGGGCAATAGAGTCAGACCCTGTCTCAAAAAGAAAAAAAAAAAAAGCTGAGATGGGAGGACATCGCGGTCTTTTTGTAAGGGCATCTCTCCTCCCAGGTTGATAGGGAATCGGAAAGACAAGGGAGAGCTGTGTGTGTTTTGAACATTGATTTTGAAAGTATGAGACACATCCTAGTAGTTTCATGTAGGTATGACACCTCAGGTAAATCCAAGGCTTTAAAATGCCTATCTCTGTTGAAACCATCTTGAGGCGATTTCTTTTGGCTCCTCTTGGCTCGCTGTGGTTAAAGCAGAGGCGCTCCCCTGGGCTTCCCTCCTTAACCAACACGCTGCAGTGGATATAAAGTTTAGAATATTCGTGGGTCCACACTTGGTTCCTAAGACTCCCGGGCAAGGAATATCAGCTTCCTTTATTTCCTTACAGTCCTCTATCAGCTCCATGTGCCCACCTCATGGCTGGCAGGAGCTTCCAGCTGGGTGGGGTGTTTTTGTCCTCCTGAGGGTCTCACAGCCATCCCGGGGTTGTTAATGGTGACTGGGCAGGGATTGGGTGCTGGATGTTTGTCTATGGTGGTGTTTCTGCTGTCTGTCCCTTGGCACGGGCCAGACCTTCTGCTCTGGCTGGACACAGACTAGCTTTTCACAGTGGCTGGCCTTCTGACCACGGATGCTGCTGCCTGTGCAGAGTGCCTTGTGTTACTTAAATGTGCCAGTGGTCCCCGGCTCTGTTTCTGTGTGCGAGCAGGGCCTGGGCAGTACCCCTCCTGGAAAATCCTTTTTTCCTCCTCAGTCTAGCCGCCTCCGTCTTGCCAATTCCAAGCTCTCTTTTGTTTTGTTTTGTCTTCAGGTACCGCCTAGCTTTATCACCCCATTAGCCTAGGGTTGTGAAAACCAGGGCCTGTACTTTCTTCCTTAGGGGTGGAAAGCCAGAACAAATAGGTGGTGTGTGGAAAGAGAAAATAACTCTTACTCCGACCCCTCCACCCCCTCAGGTTTGTGTAGCAGAAAGAGCAAGTCACAATTCATATCCTGGCTTTCAGCCATGCTTATTAGGAGAAGGAATAGAAATAGTTTTAAACATTTTATTCTGATAAAACTATAGACTCACAGGAAGTTTCAAAAATAATAGAGTCTTGTGTGCCCTTCACCCAACTTCCCCAAATGGTGACATCTCATCTAGCCTTAATACAATAATGAAACCAGAAATGCGATGCATTGGTGCATTTCTGTTAACTAGATGACAAACCATATCAAGTTTTTACCTTTTTTTTTTTAAAAAAAAACCTGCCTTCATTTATGTGTTGAAAACAATTGTAATGTGTGCAGTAAAAACACAGAACAAGCAAAAAACCTTTCTCCGGAACCTGGCAATGTTCAGCTGAGTGATAAACCAGGCAAGTGGCTAAGTCAGGGACAGGCTCATCTGATCTCTGCTATTAAACAAGCACACTCGACACACACTTGTAGGCACTCATACAATTCCATTTAATGGAGAGGAATATTTACCTAATGTTTGACATTGATTAAAAGAAATAAACAGAAATGGAAACAAAAACTATTATCTTCTTTAATAATGTGGACTTCCCCTGACCACCTCCTCAACCTCCAGGGTTCTTAAACACAAGATGCCAAGGTGTAAATTCTCTCCTTGATAATGGATTGAGGCAGGAGGACTTGGGAGGCCAGAAGGGTGAACACTGAAAAGACCATGACTTCATGCCTAGGAAGATCTTAGTGTAACTTGAAGAAATAGGGGACCTCATGGGGCCTGCCCTGATGAACCAGGGAGGGTGAGGGCCTCAGGAGTAAAGGAGGAAAACAGAAAGTCAGCTCAGCTTCTGGGCATTCTCTAAGAAACGAATTGCAGACTGGGACATCACGAGAGCTTTAGAAAATGCTGGAAACATTGTACCTTGTGCAGGTTTAGTTTGTTTTTTTGATCAACGTACAATTATTTAAAATGGTGTGCTTTGTCAGTCCCGTCATGTGATCTGAAAGTCATGAGGCCCTTGCTTGACAGACAATATGATTATGGTCTGTAACCACCCCTCTTGGCATCCTCCGATAGCAGTCTTGAGAAAAGTTTCCGGGGACAAACACTGATGTAGGTTTGTGGGAGGAGTCACGGGTCTCAGGCTGGGTCCCTGGGGTGCCTGAAGCTGGAGAGGACTCTGCCTCTGTCCTCTCATTTCCAGCCGCTCTGAGGCTGGCGTCCCTTGCAGGTCACGCTGGGCTAGCCCTTCACTATCTCCCACGCCTGCCACCTGTTCCCACTGAACGCTGCCTGGCACTCACCACCACTGACACCTGTCCTTAGTTCTGGCCACTCGCCACCTCTGCAGTCTGCTTTTCTGGCCAAGTTTCCAACAAAAATAGCTGCTGTGGAAGGTTCTAAGACTTCCCACTTGTGAGGTTTCTCTCTTCTGGCTTTCTCTGAAAAACAAGGTGAAATTACTTTAAGGTGTGTGCTTCCTCAAATGATGATTATGTGAGATCTTGGCTTAATTGACTGGGTGATTATAATTATCTTAAAAAATGCTTTTGTGCATATAATTACTTGCCAACCATGAAAGTCAATTCAGTTTTACATAGATGACTTTTTTTTTTTTTTTTTTTTGAGACGGAGTCTCACGCTGTCGCCCAGGCTGGAGTGCAGTGGCCGGATCTCAGCTCACTGCAAGCTCCGCCTCCCGGGTTTGCGCCATTCTCCTGCCTCAGCCTCCCGAGTCGCAGGGACTACAGGCGCCCACCACTTCGCCAGGCTATTTTTTGTATTTTTTTTAGTAGAGACGGGGTTTCACTGTGTTAGCCAGGATGGTCTCAATCTCCTGACCTCGTGATCCGCCCGTCTCGGCCTCCCAAAGTGCTGGGATTACAGGCTTGAGCCACCGCGCCCGGCCACATAGATGACTTTTAAGGATCTGCCTAATTCCAGTATTTTATAATTCTGTGAACCAAGGTTGGAAGCTTATTATTATTTTTATTTATTTATTTTTTTAGAGACAGAGTCACATTCTGTCACCCAGGCTGGAGTGCAGTGGCATAATCATAGTGGGCTCGAGTGATTCTTCCACGTCAGCCTCCCGAGTAGCTGGGACTATAGGCACAGGCCACCCTACCCAGCTAATTTTTACATTTTTTGTAGAGATGGGGTCTTGCTCTGTTGACCAGGCTGGTGTCAAACTCCTGGCCTCAAGTGATCCTCCCTCCTCAGCCTCCTAAAGTGTTGGGTTTATAGGCATATGCCACCACACCCAGCCATTGTTTTTAAAACTAATATATCCCACCTCATTCTATGGGGGATTTGAAGCTGAGCTGGAGTAGCATTACATAAATGCAGCCATTCAACACTTTATGGACAGATTGAGTGCTGCCACATGCCAGGCAGGATGCCAGGGACTGTGGAGGGAGCAATGAAAATGACAGAGTCACCGCTCCCACAGAGCTTATGTTCTGGGGGAGCTTGTGATGATAATATCCAAAGTTCTTCCAAGCTTACTTATCCTTTTGAGGCTAAGTATTTTTATGCATTCTCTGAGCAATCAGTTTCCATGCTTAACATATTTTTTAAGATATTAAGGTCAATTCAAATATTGATAAAGAGTGCTAGGGGCCAGATCCGGTGTCTCACACCTGTATTCTCACCACTTTGGGAGGCCGAAGCGGGTGAATCAGCTGAAGGTCAGGAGTTTGAAACCAGCGTGGCCAACACGGTGAAACCCTGTCTCTACTAAAAATACAAAAAATTAGCCAGGCTTGGTGGCGGGTACCTGTAATCCCAGCTACTCGGGAGGCTGAGGCAGGAGAATCGCTTGAACCCGGGAGGCAGAGGTTGCAGTGAGCCGAGATCGTGCCACTGTACTTCCATTCTGGTCAATGAGAGCAAAACTTCATCTCAAAAAAAAAAAAAGAGTGCTAGGTTCCTCCATAGTTGTTGCTAGCTAACTATAAAAGTTGAGACTTATATTCCTGTAAGACTTCTTACTGCCCTCCAGGCTAGCTCTATGGTTGACCTTATTTTATTTATATATTTTTTATTATACTTTAAGTTCTATGGTACATGTGTACAATGTGCAGGTTTGTTACATCTGTATATATGTGCCATGTTGGTGTGCTGCACCCATTAACTCGGGTTGACCTTATTTTTAATAGTGTGTATCTGGTTAATTCATTTGTTTCAGCTGAATATAATTAATAAAAATAATTGGATTCAGAAGAATGTAAAACTACATAATCAATAATTCTATGGTACATATAATGAATTTTATTCTGATCCTATGTGAAGAAGAAAATTAAAGTTCTTTGAGATCTAAAGAGTTACTAATAGATTTCATGTGTTCGTCTATCCAATCCCTAACATATATTTATTGAGCTTGCCTGTTGGTTCCAGACAGTGGCCTGGAGGGGCCAGACAGTTCCCAGAGATCCAAAAATGAATAAGACACAGGGTATGCCCCCAAACACGTAGACTAGTGAGGGAGACAGGTAAGTAAATGATGATTATGGGAACAAGTGAGAAGGTCCTTAACTCAACCTTGTGGGTTAGGAAAATCTCCTTGGAAATGTTTTGAGCATATCCTGGAAGGTGTGGCCAATGTGAGAAAATTGCACGTGACTCAGGATGGCTGAAGTAGAGTGGTAAGGGATGAGGCCAGAGGGGTACGCAGAGCCAAACAGCCTTTTCACTGTTCTAAGGAGGTGTATTAGTCTGTTCTCACGCTGCTAATAAAGAAATACCCAAGACTGGGTAATTTATAAAGGAAAGAGGTTTAATGGACTCACAGTTCCACATGGCTGGGGAGGCCTCACAATCATGGCAGAAGGCTAAGGAGAAACAAAGCCATGTCTTACATGGTGGCAAACGAGGGCTTGTGCAGGGGAACTCCCATTTACAAAACCATCAGGTCTTGTGAGACTTACTACGACAAGAACAGTATGGGGGAACCGCCGCCATGATTCAGTTACCTCTACCTGGCCCTGCCCTTGACACATGGGGATTATTGCAATTCAAGGTGAGATTTAGGTGGAGACACAGCCAAACCGTATCAGGAGGGTAGAGTATCTTGAGGAGATGGAAGTTTCTAAAGATGAGGGTAGCACAGTAAGGTTGGGTGCTTTTTGGAACGATCTCTCTGGCTGCAGTCTGGAGCACAGATTGGAGATGAGAAAGAAAAGAGGAGGTGATAATCACTCTTTAGGATCTTCCTTCAGCAACCCAGTGAGCAAAGATGGCAGTTGTGGCAGAGGAGGAGCGAGACATGGGCAGGATTAGGCAGGATTAAAGAGGCACAATCAACACACCACTGTGAAAGCAACACCTGGATTTTGCAACAACTGCCAGACTCTTCTGCACATTATTTGAGCACCAAAACTTGGGGTGTCACCAGTGGCGTTTAACGTAAAGGTTAGTTTGAAGATTCCCAGGCTGAAAAAGTCCTCTTGGACTGACTCAGACCTGGCCGGCACTGTCAGGCTTTCAGGTTCAGTGCCCGTCTCAGAACTATGAAGGTATTATTCTGGATATGGCTAAAAACATGAGGTTGGGCCAGGAGATGTGGGAGTGTGTTAGATCCTCTATAACTTGCCTTCTGTGATATTTATTTATTTATTTTAGACAGAGTTTTGCTCTTGTTGCTCAGGCTAGAGTGCAGTGGTGCAGTCTTGACTTACCCCAACCTCTGCCTCCTGGGTTCAGGCGATTCTCCTGCCTCAGCCTCGCGAGTAGCTGAGATTATAGGCATGCGCCACCATGCCCAGCTAATTTTGTATTTTTAGTAGAGATGGGGTTTCTCCATGTTGGTCAGGCTGGTCTCAAACTCCAGACCTCAGGTGATCCGCCTGCCTCGGCCTCCCAAAGTGCTGGGATTACAGGCATGAGCCACTGTGCCCGGCCTACCTTCTGTGATTTTTAAAATTTTATTTTATGGACAGGGTCTTATTTTGTCACCCAGGTTGGAGTGCAGTGGCACAATCATAGCTCACAGCAGCCTCAAACTCCTGGGCTCAAGTGATCCTCCCGCCTCTGCCTCTGGATGCCTGGCTAATTTTTAACATGTTTTATAGAGATGGGGTGAGGAGGGTCTTGCCATGTTGCCCAGGCTGGTCTTGAACTCCTGGCTTCAAGTGATCCTCCCATCTCGGCCTTCCAAAGAGCTGGGATTACAGGCATGAGCTGTTGCACTCTGCCACCTTCTGTGATTTTGATTTTTCCATTATTAATCTTGAGAAGCTGCCTGGTAGTGTAAGAAGGACACTTCATTAGGAATCAGTAGACTTGCAGTGAGTCCTGATTGTGTTGACTCCTTGTCCTGTGACCTTTGACTTTGGCAAATGACTTCCCTGTGCGGCCTCAGTGTCCTCATCTATATAAACATGGTGCTGGGTAGAGAATGTATGACTGCAAGACACTTTCAGTGCCCCCTGTCGATGATTCCCTGAGCTCACTGCCTGAGTTGAAAGGCATTAGGAATTTCTAGGGACTGCTCTTAAGAACCTCATGTCTCTCTTTAATTAAAGCAGTTGTGGCACTCTGGCTCCAGGGAGGTTTATGGGACCATTCTGGGAAGGGATGGAAAAGCTTTTGTTTTCTTCTTAGAGGCATTTTTAGGAACTGTAACCTGGTTCTCTTGCTTTGGTCTGGGGGAAACAGAAATTCCAGTGGGCTGTTGGTTTGCACCATCGAGACTATTGGAGCCTTGGGTGACCCCACCCACTCTTACTTTGCAAGTTTCTTTCTTTGCCCAGAAATCAGTATTTAAAATACTATGTGATTCAGAAATGTTATCATTTTGTTCTCATAGAGGGAAAGTTTTTGACCTACTTTTATTAATTTGTTCAAACCTGAAGTAAAGACATAGTTATAAGGGCATAAAGTCAGAAAAGACATTTTTGCTCAAATTTTTAAATTACTTGCATATGGTCTGAATTTCGCTAGATAGCGCTATAAATCTTTGGTACGCTTTAGAAATAGAATGAAATGTATTACTAAGCAGCATTAATAATTAATTACATTTTCTCAAGAGTTCAAGTGATGGGAAACTGTCTTTAATCTCACAGTTATTTTAAGAGCTTGAAATATAAGGTATGAAAGAAGTAGGGATCACCCAGCTATCATATCTTTGCTATTTACTTATTTTATGGATAAACTAATATGTTATTCATTTTGATTAGCTTGTTTTTTCTTATAGTTTGCTTGATTTTCAGATTCGACTTTAAGCTTACTTGAATTGTGTTTTTTTCTTTAATTTTGATTTATGGATGTAAGGAAGACGAAGGAGAGACAGCCACAGAAGAGGTACAGTTGACCATCTTCAACAGCTGTGCTTAATCTGCTTAATAGAAACATCTTTTAGGTGGGAGGATTGCAGCTTTAGGCACGTTCTTAATAACGTAAGAGAGTGATGCAACTCACACACCCAGAAAATCATCCTTTAACCTGCTGAGAAGGAAAGTAAGTTGGAGATCAGTTTTTCTGAGGAAGGTGGAGAGAGAAACAGGGCTTGGCTCTTGACCCTGTCCTGAGCCCCCTTGGGTGAAGGTATCTTCCGTGGTTTCTCACTGATGTCAGGCCAGGCCAGGCCAGGGCACTGGCTGGAGATGCCTGCTCCTCGTCCTTTTCCACCCTGTTGAATGCACTGGGTTTAGGAATCCTGCATGGTGGTTAGTGGTGTTTTCATTGAGGGAGGGATTCCTACCTATGTTGATGTTTTTGAACATCTTTGCATTAATCACTTTATTTTCTTGTTGTTGTGTTTTGTTTGTTTTTGTTTTTTTGAGACAGGGTCTCACTCTGTCGTCCAGGCTGGAGTGCAGTGGTGTGATCTCAGCTCACTCGTGCCTCCGCCTCCTGGGTTCAAGTGATTCTCCTGTCTCAGCCTTCTGAGTAGGTGGAATTACAGGCACGCGCCACCACATCTGGCTAATTTTTGTATTTTTAGTAGAGATGGCGTTTCACCATGTTGGCCAGGCTGGTCTTGAACTCCTGACCCCAAGTGATCCACCTGCCTCGGCCTCCCAAAGTGCTGGAATTACAGGCGTGAGTCACCACACTAGGCCTGGATTAATCACTTTAAAATGCTAGAGAATTAATTTAAAATTGTGAACACAAGGGTAGTGAGAATAATTTACTAAGTTACATGTATTGTCTAGATATTTCAGCACAAGGTCATCAACATTAAAGAGGGTCCCAAATGTCAAAAGAAATGCCCCCGAAGTAACTTTTGTTAACTTTTGAAATGACAAAATTCATGATCTTTATAGAAAATTTAAAAAATGCAGATAGAAGAGGAAAATGAACATAGCTTTTAACCCTTATTACCCACAGATAACCACTCTAGCTACACACACACACACACACACACCCCCCCCCATCAATTTTTGATGAATACTCTTGTAGTCTCCTTTTTTTCATGGAATGTGCCTGTATTTGGGGAGGTATTAAGTATAGATCTGCTTCATTATTTTAAATGTTAATATATCAAACCAACCCCTCTTCTTAGACCTAAAGATTGTTTCTAGTATATTCTACACCATGATTTCTCATTATTTATATCTTTCCAATAATTATTTCTTTTGTTTCTCTCTTGCTAGGCCAGCTTCAAAATAGATTTTTAAAAATAAGATAAAAACATGCTGTTAATTTGGAAGAAATTCCAGATTATATATGTATACAGGTTGCTGATAAATTTTGCTTGAAGAAATTAGCTTGTTACAAGAAAATATAACCAACTTGTGCATTTAACAGCTTATCCTTTCTGACAAAATTCGATTTGCTGATTCTTTTTGTATTTTATTCTTCTAACTATATATATATACCTTCTGAATTTGTAAAGGTTATTTGCTGAGAATGGTTTGTTAATATGAGTGGAGACTGTACGCTTAGGAGAGATTATAAAACCTGTTAGAATTAGCATATCATTCTAAAGCACCATTCCAAATTGAGGAGTCTATGTTTAGAAGGATGTTTTTTTGTGTGTGTGTATGTATGTGTGGTGTGGTGTATGTATGATGTATGTGTATTTGTGTGTGGTGTATATATGGTGTGTGGTGTGTTTGGTGTGTGGTGTGTGTGTGGTATGGTGTATATGTGTGGTGTGGAGGGGATGTATGTGTGGTGTATGTGTGATATATTGTACGTGTATTTGTGTGTGGTATGTGATGTGTGTGGTGTGGTCTGGTGTGTGCGTGTGTGGTATGTATGTGGTGTGTGTGGATGTGTGGGTGGTGTGTGTGGGGGTGTGTGTGCTGTGTCATGTGTGTTTCTGTGGTGTGGGTGGTATGTGTATGGGGTATGTGTGTGGCATGTGTTTGTGTGGCATGTGTGGTATGTGTATTTGTGTGTTGTGTGGTGGGGTGTGGGAGGCTCTGACCTCTAGTCCAGCCTTTTACAGTCTTTTTCTCACTGTATCCTTGGCCCTTACGCTCCTTAATACTAACGTAATTTTTGTGAAAATAAGACGGAGTTAACAACTACGGAGGGTGCGGAAGGGGAAGCCGAGGAGGAGGAGGAGGAGGAAGCTGCAGAAGGAGAAGAGGAGCCTGGAGAAGAGGAAGATTCCTAGGCCTTTTCACGCTTCATTTCTTCCACATCTCCAGGTAGCTACAGGATTCTGGGGTGGAAAAGCTGCTAGTTATTGTACTGTATGCTATCTGCAGCACATTTTGCTTAGTAATAGTGAGAGGTGACAACGTGCTATAGCAGCCCTCACTCTCGGCGCTGCCTCCTCGGCCTCGGAGTCCACTCTGGCGGCGCTTTAGGAGCCCTTCAGCCTGCCACTGCACTGTGGGAGCCCCTCTCTGGGCTGGCCGAGGCCAGAGCCAGCTCCCTTTTGCTTGCCCGGAGGTGTGGAGGGAGAGGCAAGGGCAGGTGGGAACCGGGGCTGCGCGGCGCTCGCGGACCAGCGCAAGTTCCGGGTGGGCGTGGCCAGCCGGCACCGCTGCCCCGGGCAGTGGGGGGTTTAGCACCCGTGCCAGCCGGCACTGCGCTGGAATTCTCGCGGGTCCTTAGCTTCCTCCCCGTGGGGCAGGGCTTGGGACCTGCAGCCAGCCATGCCCGAGCTGCCCCCGCCCCCGCCGTGGGCTCCTGCGCAGCGCAAGCGTCTGGGACGAGCGCCGCCCCCCACTCCTTGGCGCCGGGTCCCATCAACTGCCCAAGGGCTGAGGACTGCAGTGCATGCACAGCGTGGGACTGGCAGGCAGCTCCGCCTTTGGCCCCTGGTGTGGGATCCACTAGGTGAAGTCAGCTGGGCTCCTGAGTTGGGTGGGGGACTTGGAGAACCTTTATGTCTAGCTAAAGGATTGTAAATACACCGTTCAGCACCCTATGTCTAGCTCAAGGTTTGTGAACACATCAGTCAGTGCTCTGTGTCTAGTTAATCTGGGGAGGACTTGGAGAACTTTTATGTCCAGCTAGAGGATTGTAAATGCACCAATCAGCACTGTGTCTAGCTCAAGGTTTGTAAACACACTAATCAGTGCTCTGCGTCTAGTTAATCTGGGGGGCCAATTTGAATAGTAGGGATGTCTCTTCTTAATAGACTTATAAATAAAAAGCTAATATAAAAAGCACTTAATCTATTTTTAGAGCATCTTGGAGCTAGTGAGAGTGGCCATCACAGTTTGTTATTGGACCATAAAGGTTTTGTCACTCATTTGCTTGAATGAGAAAGTGAATCTAGCTCACGATTTGATGTCTCTCCAGGGAGTTTCTTTCATGCTTTGGACCCACAGACTTCTACTTTAAGGCCCTCTGCTTGCCACTTGGTTACAATTCCATTTCCAAGGAGTGGGTTGGGACTCATTTTTAAAAAAAGAAAACTGGCAAGCTTAAGATATGCTACCTGAAGAATGGTAGAAAATGAAAATATGATATTTATTATCATACCAGAAACAAAACAAAACAAAGCAAAACTCACAGTAACAGACTCGTTGGTCCTGTTTAAATCCATGTCTGTTCACCCAACTTGGAAAGTTCTTTAAAAATTGTGCAGTTTTAATGTGATAATCATAAAGAAATATTGGATGTGAAATGGCACAGCCGAGAGAGAATCTTTAATGTAGACAGATGGCTTCTTTATAGGCCATTTCCAAAAAAGAAAGGAAAAAAGGCAAGTTACAGTTGTGGCTAGCACATTCTGCCTGTTTCTCTGATGGGTTCTAGTTTGGAATCCAGTCCCTAATAGTCTGTTATGAGGTCAAAATGCCTGACAGTGAAGGAGTAAACCAGGCAGCACCCTAAATCCCAGCCACGGACTCCCGAAGGGAGTCAATAACCTTTAAAATGCGACATGATGATGCAGTCAGGTATTCTGCAAACTATTTGGCTTCCAAAAACAAACCCATCTCATAACTCATAGATTATCCACGCATTTTATTTGAAAAGACTATTTTAGACAGAACAAGGCAATGAATGGAACTATGAAAGAATTCTCATTTCCCATAGTTGGAGTTGGAGTCAGTCGTTTTTTTTTTTTTCGGACAGGGTCACACTCTGTCACTCAGGCTGGAGTGCAGTGGTAAGATCATGGCTCACTGCAGCTTTGACCTCCCTGGTCTCAGGTGATCCTCCCACCTCAGCCTCTTGAGTAGCTAAGATTACAGGCACGCACCACTGAGCCTGGCTAATTTTTGTATTTTTTGTAGAGATGGGATTTCACCATGTTGCCCAGGCTGATCTCGAACTGTTAGGCTCAAGTGATTTGCCCACCTTGGCCTCCCAAAGTGTTGGAATTACAGGCGTGAGCCACCACATCTGACCTAGAATCTAAATTGATGTTTGAGTCCCAGGGCAAATAATGTCCAATATGAGACTGGTTTCTACCTCCCAAAAGGTGGCCACTTAATACCTTCCTCTGGTGTAGCCATGAACCATTTAGAGCTCCCCCTCTAGGACCAACCTGTCAGTTCAGCCTATTTTCCATGAAAACGCAGTGGGAAATTAAAATTGGAGATGTTGACTTCCTTATGGTGTTTGATATGTGTTTGTGCAGAGAAAGGATATAAATCTAGCTTGGTTTTCCATGAGAGGAATTTCCTTTCAGTGGGGAGCAAATGATGACTAGTGGTTTATAGAATAAAAGGCAACACTTTCCTTTATTGTATGTTAAGTGGTGAAGATTGTGGTAAACATTCTGTGTCTTTCTCTAACAGTCTTTCCCTAATATTTGCCTTTTCTTTTAGAAAATGGAAGCTATGAAGCAACATTTCAAATGTCTCTCCACAAACCAAAACTCAACGGAATACTTTGGCTTGAAGCTGGCACACCCAGGGTTCACTGAGGACTTGTGCTGCCTGACCTGGTTAGATGTACATGGATGTATCTCCCGAATCATACGAAATTAAATGTGAAGACAGTTTATGCATACCTTCATGTGCCTAACAGTCTTAGCTTTTGAAGATTTTTTTTTCTTTTTTGCTCTGCATAGCTAGACCATCTTATTAATAATACTCTGAAAAAAATGATTTCAAGGCATGGAAGTTCTCTGTGATACAGCGATAATATTTCTTCAGATGCGCCTTATGCTACTTATCTCAGGAACAGGTTTGAAAATGAAATGCTTTCCAGAGAACCATCATATAAATAAAGATTAATAGAAAAATATCTTGTCCCAAGGAGCATCATTTCATTATTTGTAGTCCCTGCTTGCATATGCCTGAACTCCATCTGTGTGTTGCCAAGTCTAAATCTTCAGCAGCACTTTTCTGTCTGCGTTGGGATCGATGTCTTTTATTGCAGTGATTATTTGGTCCGTGTTTTCAAATTGCACTGATTGTTTCATTATGTCGTATTTTTTTTTTTTATTACACGCTGTGCACATCATCTTTGAAGCGTTATCTAACTGTAACTCTATCATCCACTTGTGTGGGATTGATGGTAAGGAGGGATGATGGTAAGGACAGAAATTTGCAACCCAGTACCCTTTACGCGTTTCTGAGCTGAAGGGAGTGGCTGCTTCTGTGTCTCCTGCTGTTGATTGATTTGTAGCCATGGCTGTGGAGCCGGGTCCTGTAATTTTGCTTCCTGATGGCCAGGAGTGTGTGTTCACCTACAGCTGATCCAGCTCCAATGACTTGTACACCAGGTAAGTTTGATAGCATTTCCGCTCACCTGCCCTGCCTTAGTTTACTGTAGATATTTTTTCTTCCTTGTAAGATTTTGTTGATATTCACCCTGCTGCCTCCCTGCCTATGTGCGATTCCTTGTGTTTTTGCAGCAAACGCTGCTCCTGTATTGTCAGAGGGCCTCCTCTCCTTGCTGTACTGTTTTCCTATTTCATGTTAATTACGGCAATTCAACTTGGAGTGGCCATAGACTTTCCCCTTTGGAGTCTGCCTCCTAATTTTGTAGCAGAGTCTGTTGGTGTTATTTCAGAGTGTATTCTGCAGTTGCAGAAGTCTCGTGGCTTTCATGAACTCTGGGAAACGGCTCTTTTCTTGTTACCCTAGTAACAAAAAAAAGGCATTTTGAATAGAATTAGGCTATTTTGTTTCCAATCATTGAAGTAGTCTGCGTTAAAAACATTTCGCCCTTTGCTTAAAAGACCACAGTAAAATGGAAATTCATATAATTGAAAATTTATTTCTATTTTTAATTTCATTGCATTAAATTATCCTATCTAAAAAGTTTGCATAATTTTTACAACAACCCCCTATACAAGTAGACCTTAACCACCTTCTTGCTCAGGGCTGACTTTTCTTTCTTTCATGGCAGAGTAGGAGGGAGATAGATTTAGCTAGGTGCCAATTTTCCTCCTCTCTCTCTTTTTTTTTTTGAAATGGAGTCTGTTTTGCTGCCCAGTCTGGAGTTCAGTGGCAGGATCTCGGCTCACTGCACCCTCCGCCTCACAGGTTCAAGCAATTCTCCTGCCTCAGCCTCCTGAGTAGCTGTAATTACAGGCACATGCTACCACACCCAGCTAATTTTTGTATTTTTAGTAGAGACAGAGTTTCACCATATTGGCCAGGCTGGTCTGGAACTCCTGACCTCAAGAGATCTGCCCACCTTGTTATTTCTCATATTTAAAAAATGAAAATAAATACCTATGCTGACAATAAGCAAAGATAAAAACCCAGACCACTTATTTAAATTGAATTATTTTTTCCTTATATTGTTTTCCTGTAGTCAAAAACATTAACATTTTAGAAGGGTATTTGTATTTGCTCCCGTTTGATTTTCTTTAAAGTATCACTGAAATGCAAAAATCACTTAGATCAATAGTACCCTATGGATGGTATCAGTTCTCTTCTAGTTTTGGCTTCAGTTATCCCTTCAACCTTCCATGGTTAGCAATTCAGTGGCACAGTGAGGAGAATTCCAGATATGGACTATGTGGTATCAAAATATGATGAAAAAATCTGAATGCTTTTCAATATAGGAAGCTTCTAGAAACTAAGCAGTATTGTGAATCTGTAAAAAAGAATAACTCGGCCGTGCTCGGTGGCTCAAGCCTGTAATCCCAGCACTTTGGGAGGCCGAGACGGGCGGATCACGAGGTCAAGAGATCGAGACCATCCTGGATAATACGGTGAAACCCCGTCTCTACTAAAAAATACAAAAAAAACCTAGCCGGGCAAGGTGGCGGGCGCCTGTAGTCCCAGCTACTTGGGAGGCTGAGGCTGGAGAATGGCGTAAGCCCGGGAGGCGGAGCTTGCAGTGAGCTGAGATCCGGCCACCGCACTCCAGCCTGGGCTACAGAGCGAGACTCCGTCTCAAAAAAAAAAAAAAAAAAAAAAAAGAATAACTCAAAAGGAAGCCCCAAGTGAATAAGGAAAAATCATTTTGGAAAAAACCCAAAAGAGACCAGAGAAATGGAATAATTGCATGTTGATCTGAAGTGAATTGAAGTTCAAAGGCTTGGTTTAATAGTATAAAAGAGGTCTGAACATGCAAAGGAATTATTTCTTTTTTTCTTTTTTTTTAAATTAGGCAACTACACAAAAATTTGAGTATTTTTTTTCCAGTCACTGAACAATACACTCTCCCTTCCTCACTCTCCCCTTGTGGGCTCCCTCTCGTTTCTTTGGACGGAAATCTTCCTTTGGTTTGTGGTTGTCTTTGAGTTCTTAGTTTTCTCAATGAAATGTGAAAGGTATAGGAAGAGAATGAACTGTATTTCCTGCAAAGATTCTTCGGACATATTTACAATTTTTTTTGTTTGTTTGTTTTTGAGACAGTGTCTCTGTCGCCTGGGTGGAGTGCAGTGGCGCTCTCACTGCAACCTCCGTCTCCCAGGTTCAGGTGATTTTCCTGCCTCAGCCACTGGAGTATCTGGGACTATAGGCATGCACTACCTTGCTTGACTAATTTTTATTATTTATTTATTTGAGACGGAGTCTCGCTCTGTCACCCAGGTTGGAATCCAGTGGCGCAATCTCGGCTCATTGCAAGCTCCGCCTCCCGGGTTCACGCCATTCTCCTGCCTCAGCCTCCTGAGTAGCTAGAACTGCAGGCGCCCGCCACCATTCCCGGCCAATTTTTGTATTTTTAATAGAGACGGGGTTTCACCGTGTTGGCCAGGCTGGTCTTGAAATCCTGACCTCAGGCGATCTGTCCACCGCAGCCTCCCAAAGTACTGGGATCACAGGCGTGAGCTACCGTGCCCAACCTAGAAATGTTTTCTTTCAAAATGTGTTTACCTAGGCCGGGTGCGGTGACTCATGCCTGTAATTGCAGCACTTTGGAAGGTCGAGGTGGGTGGATTGCTTGAGCCCAGGAGTTCAAGACCAACCTGGGCAACATAGCAAGACCCCATCTCTACAAAAAATACAAAAATTAGCCAGGCATGGTAGCATGTGCCTGTAGTTCCAGCTACTCGGGAGGCCAAAGTGGGAGGATTGCTTGAGCCCAGCACTCCAGCCCAGCCCACTGATCACGCCACTGCACTCCAGCCTGAGTGACAGAGCAAGACCCTTTCTCAAAAAGAAACAACAAAACAAAACAAAACAACCCCCCCCCCACCTCACTTAACTGTTACACCTGTGCAAGCACAGCAAGTAGGTATGAAGTGGTCTGGTACTTTGTAATAACAGAAAATGGCCATTAGGTGGCGATGAAAGACAAGCTTCTTGCTATGGCGTCGCTGTCCCCGAGGTCCCCTGGCTGTGAGCCCGAGTCAGGGTACTGCTAGTTGACATCAGAAGGTGGGAAGAGGTATTTGTCAACCAGATGGAGGAAAACAGACAAAAACCCTACTTATAATTAATGGGTAAATTAATTAGTGTATCATTTATAAAGCTTATATCCAAGGTAACTTTATTTTGGGCGAAATGTGCATTTATTGTTCGAATGCACATCCTTGCATTATACAAAAGGAGCCTAAATTTAGTCAACAACTGATTGCATATTGACAATTTTGATAAAGATACGGGATCTTCTTTTAGCCTCTGGGGGGTTTTATTTTATCAAAGAAGTAAAAACAGAACCCTGATTGTTGAAGGGGCTGATTATCCTTTTCTGTCACAAGACTTTTAGTCCGAATAGAACATATGTCCAAATATTTGGAAACATATTCACGATCCTAACAAAGGCATTCCTTTCACAGTTGTCTAGGTTACTTGGCTTTTTCACTGCTTTGTTTTCGAAGGACCTTCTTGGAAGTAGAAAAACAGAGTTGGGAAATCCTTAAAATGTATCAGTGCATCTGGCTGTTTTCCAAACCAGAAGTCAGGAGATTGTTCAAAGATGCGGAAATGTACTCAGGTGTGGAAGATTCCAGTTGGGGAGGGACTCAGGTGGGCAGGTGTGAGTAGCATAGAGGGGGCATGGGGTGGGGGCTTAACTGGGGGGCTCCTGGTTCCAGTCCAGCATTCTGTAGATTTAGCACCCGGATCTTGTCAGGGGAGGTGAGAGAAACCTCCCAGGCAGACTTCCATGAATCAAGCTCACAGCCTAGGATTACAATCAGGGTGAGGGCTTTCCTATTATTTTTATTCACTAACACTGACGGAGTGCCTGCTGTGAGCCGGGTTCTGTGTTAAAGGCTTCGTGTGTTGCTACAGTAACCCGATGAGGTGGATACCATCTTTATCTGGCAAGGAGGAAACTGAGGCACAGGGACGTTCAATTCAGTACTTTGGCAATGGCTGAGCCGGAGCTGAGATGTACGTTTCTCCCACTCCAAAGCCACGAACAGCCTCCTCAACAAGCCCTTTGCTCTCGATCCTGGACCACCGTACGGTTCCCCTACGGTGCCTGGCTGGCCGTGGACAGTGTGCGGCCTTGGCCCCAGAGCGCCTCCTGTGCCCGGCTTTGGTCCCCGCATTCTGTCTTCAGACTCCATGCCGTTCGGGCCCTGGAGCAAGGTGCCTTGCACTTCTCACTTATGATCCACCTGTTTTATTTTCTTGGTTGCACCATCAGAAGTCAATTCCATTACCTTCATCTTCCAGTTCTTTGGGCGGCTAGCTGTGGCTGCCACCACCAGCGCCAGTTACAGAGGGAACTGGGTCACTGTCAACCCACAGGGTTCTAGAAATTGGTCACTGGCCTCAGATCCGAAGTTTCAGGTTGCAGAGAGAAAAAACTAAAACTGCCACCTGCCTTTTCCAGCCTGGTTGTCCTTGGGTATATCTTGCCCGCTAATGCTGAAGGACACACCAAGA